GGCTGGCTGAAGCCCGGCTGACTGAAAGCCGGTTTCTGGGGTTTTGTTTAGCTTCTATATTTGCAACATAGTTGCTTAGAGTTGCAGCTGAGAGGCCAGCAGCGGCAGGCAGGGAACACAGAGTTCGCTGTCACTGGAGCAAGCAAGCCTCCCTGTTCGCTTCAGTGCATGGCTGCTGGCCGCCATCTTGGCTGACAGTTAATTTGCATAAGGATATGCTGATTAGCCAATGGGAAGGGTAGCGGTCGTACGCTAATTACCATGTTTCTCTTTTATTAGTGTAGATATGATGTGTATATTTTCAGTGAAATGAAATATTCTAAGCTTTGTATGTGACACTATAATTTAAATGTGGGGCCTTTGGTTTTCATTTAATAGCCATGCAAACTATGAGAACTTGCAAATAGAATAAAATGTCATACACCTTTTGGAAATAAATTCATGCTTTTACTCAAAAATCATTTAGCATCTGCTTTGTCTCAAGAGTTATACTATGACATGGGCCTATGATTAGAGTGTTTGTAATATAGTGGAGAATTTGAACATTAAACTAAGGTATGTCATGTAATAATATTAAGTGCTTGGGTAATTAAGGTGCCTCCACTGCCTGTCTGTGTGACCTTGGGCAAGTTACTCTATTTTATCATCTACAAAATGGAAGTATCCATTGCCTACCTCATAAAGTGTTTTTGTTTTTTGGACAGTAAAAGCATTAACTGCCCTCCCCCCCCCAAAAAAAAGCCTAAAGAGTGGTAAGCATGCCAGGAAATTTTATCAAATTGTAGCATCAGTAGACAAGTAACTTGTATTATTTAGTGAATGCTGTAATGAGGGAGAGATTGTGTTTATCTAAACTGATCAGAAGGGATGTTTGCATTGATACCTATACAGCATGAATAGGTGATAGATGAAAACTTTAAATCCCCTTTAAATAACTAAAATATTAATGCTTTTTTAAAAGAGGAAAATAAAGCATGCCTATTCCATTTGCTCAATAGGGCTCAACCAGTAAGCTATCTGCAGAATATGGAGAAATTGTGAAGGAAAAGCTTGCTCGACAACAGCAGCTTTGTAAATTGCGCGCTCAATGTGAAGTAAGTACTTTTGCCATTAGATCTGAGGCAAGTCAGAGGTAATTCAAATGTTCAACTAAATGATATCTTCTTTTCTAAAGAACCCAGTTTTTTTCTTTCAATGTCTGGTGACTTGAGCAGAATTAACTGAAATTGTATTTTTCTTTGAGCAGGGTTTTGAGAAGCAGTTGAAAAAAGTGATATTTCGGTTGCAAGAAAACCATGTACATATTAAAAAGAGAGATAAAATCATCGCATCTCTTAATCAACAAGTGGCTTTTGGAATCAATAAGGTTTCCAAGTAAGTACAAATCCTTTTAAAACAAAATTTTGGGTTTGCTCCATAGTGAACAGTCTTTAAAAGATAATCATAGGTGCCCACTAGGTGGCATTGTGACTGCATATCAGGAACTGCCAACCACAGACTGCACTTGATTAAAAACCATTTCTATTTTTGCCTTGCCAGCTAAATGGAGAAATAAGCAACTGCTCACTCTATATATCAAGCTTTTCATGTATTAGATGAACAAGTGTGAAGATAATAGAATTTCATGAGGAAGATAATTAACTTTTAGATCATGATTTTAGTTTATAAAAATGTGATCAGTGTTTGGCCTTTTCTTTATAGCATATGATAAATATATTCCTCAAAGACATCATGGAATCAGTTGTATATTTTTTTATGTTGGTCCCTCAGAGTGTTTGTGTTCCAAGACCAAGAGAGTTAAAATAGATTAAATTCCTGGAGACTCTTCACAACTGCACCAATTTCATTTCTCTTATAACTTTAAGGATTAAATGCCTAAGACTAAAAATTTTGACTTAATAGGAAAAAACAAGTGTCTTTATTTTATTCTAATAATCACTGCCTCCGATGAGTATTAGTTTAAAGAATAATATAATTTAATTGTTTTAATGAGCAATAGTACCACAAGATACCAGTCATCTAGGAAGTCTAATTTATTTTTAAATACATTCTTATTGATTTCAGAGGGGAAGGGAGAGGGAGAGAGAGAGAAACACCATTGATGAGAGAGAATCATGGAGTGGCTGCTTTCTGTATGCCCCACACCAGGATCAAGCCCGCAACCTGGGCATGTGCCCTGACCGGGAATCGAACTGTGACCTCCTGGTTCATAGATCACTGCTCAACCACTGAGTCATGCTGGCCAGTCTAGGAAATCTAATTTGAAATCTTTCGCAGTTCCTAGATTGCTAATAAGGAGAATAGGTAATTTCTAGGAAATAATCTTAAAGTGAGGAGTCCAAAATACTAATTGTAAAATTAGAGAAATACTTGGCAGAAATTTAGGTCTTAAGTTTTTCCCTATATATCATCTCATCCATCCTGAAGATGTTTTTAAGAACTGATTGCCATAGCTCTGGCAACTTAATATCAGTTGAAAATACTTTCAGGCCTGTCCCTGCTGGACTTAGAGAGATCCTTCAAGTTCACAAGTAGGTGAGTAAACTAAGATAGCATGGGCTAACTAAGCACTGCAGTCACTTAAGAAGGATTCAAAACTTTGTCTTTTAGCCTGGAAGATAATGACCAGTCCAGAAATGTGTTACATAATACCAGAGATCAGTAATGTAATGTCATGCATGCAGATGAATTTCCTCTCTCCTTCATAATTTGAGGATATCCCTTCTCAACTCTGATAGCTGACCTAGGCACCCTTATATGCTCGAGACTACAGATAGATCACTTTAGGGGATATATATATATGTTCACTCAATAAGCATTCAGTGTTAAACATTTATCAAACATTTAAGTACTAACTGTGAGAAGTATTATGTAAGACATAGGTAGAGGATACCAAGACGTGTTAGACATTAACTGTTAGCTAGTAGAGAGTATAGGTTACATAGGGGATTAAAATTATGTATAACAGAGGGACTTTCAGTTTCACCAAGATGTAGTTGCTCCATTACTTATAAGTCTTCCATCTTATAGTTAAAATACCCTGGACCTAAAAGAACAAATAAACAGGAAGACTCTGAGAGGTGGAAGAAGAAAGCAGACAGTCTGGAGACCTTGGACTTGAGGAATGATACAGCAGTGATTTTCCTTATTGCCTCACATATATCCTAGACAAGGTGCTGCAGAGACTGCCAACTGCCAATAGGCATAGGGTGAAAACTCCAAGGAAAACCTGTTCCCTCTAGCCAAAGGAACAGGAAAAGGAAAATATAACAACTAAAAACCTTCTTGGCACTACCCACCTACTCCAGCCAAAGACCAGCAGCCCCATACCACTCCTTGGAAGAAGATAGTATGCTTTGACAAAAGCAGATGGCAGGAATCAGATTCCTCTGCTGGGGTAGCAGTACTGAGCAGGCGGTTGATCTTGCATTCTCCACCAGGAGGGAGCAGATAGTGCTCATTTCCTCTCGCAGGATAGCATCAATGTGGTCCATCTATAAGCTAAGCCTCTACCTCTACCCAGCATCTGTGGACTTAACAAACTGATTTGAGGTGGGACTAGTCAATGGTATGTTTTATCCCTACTTTCCCTATGGGAAGCTGAGTCTCCACCACTGGTGTTAGTCTCCACCACTCCTTTACCCTCGTCTTCCCAGTTGGTGCCAGAGCTCTTACCTCTCTCTATCAAAGCAGTGTGAGTCAGCCCTTCTACACTTTGCTAGAAATAGGAAAAGATCAATAACAGTAGGTCATGTGTGCATATTATAATACCTAGTGCAATAACTAAGAAAGCTACACAGAGATGGAATCCTAAAAATTGTTCACATAACCCAAAAGAAGGTAAGAAAAGAGAAACAGAGGAAACAAACAGAAAACCAATAACAAAATGGCAGACCTAATCACTAACATATCAATAATTACCTTAAATGTACTAGTAAATGGTCTAAATACACCAATTTAAAGATAGATACTGGCAGAGAGGATTTCAAAGATGTAACAAAAAATGTGATAAAATAATCACTATTTACAAGAAACTTCAATTTCAACATAGGTAGGTTGAAAGTATAAAGATGGTAAAAGATACATTATGTAAACAGAAAACCAGAAGTGTCTGTATTAAGATATATTAATATGATAAAATGAGCATCAGAGCAAAGTAAACTACTGGAGACAAAGAGGGACATTACTGATGATAAAAGGATCAATCCACCAGGAAGGCACCAAAACGAAGTTGTATGTACCAAAAACAGCACCTTAAATATATGGAGCGAAGCCGGATAGAACTGAAAGAAATAGAAAAATGTACAATTTTAGTTGGTGACTTCAACACCCTACTCAGCAACTTATAGAACTATTAGACAGAATCAACAAGGATATAGACCACCTCTGCAATACCATCAACCAACAGGATCTGATCGATATTTATAGAACAATTCACCAGATAACAGCAGAATCCTTATGCTTTCCAGTATCCACAAGAAATACACCAAAATAGATGATAACCTGTACCATAAAACAAACCCCAGTAAATTTAAAATAATTGAAATTATGCAAAGCATACACTCAGATCACATCGACTCAAACTAGAAAACAATAATGCTAAGATAACAGGAAAATTTCCAAACACTTGGAAACTACATAATTATTTATACTTTATATTAAACATACCTAATTATTCCAAGGGAAATAAAATACATTGAACTGATCTAACATGAAAATACAATATGTCAAAATCTGTGGGACACAGCTAAAGCAGTTCTGAGAAGTCGTCTCAAATGAATAATACAAGCTCCGACCTCAAGAACACAAAAAAAGAAAAGTAACCAAAATAAGCAGTGGGAAATAATACAGATTAGAAACAAACAAAAAACTAGAGAAAAATCTATGAAACAAAGCTGTGTTTTTATTTTATTGAAACAATTTTTTTTATTGAAAAAATCAATAAAATTGGCAAATCTCTAACAAACTGACCAAAAGGGAAGACACAAACACCACCATCAGGAACGAAGTAGTGATATCTCTACATATACTATAGACATCAGAGAACTCTGCTGAGTGAAAAATCCCAAACCCCAAAGCTTATATACTATATGATTCCATTTCTATTACATTTTTTAAATGACAAAATTTCAAAAATGATAAAAATGGAAAACAGATAAGTGGTTTAAAGATTATAAGGAGGAGATGAGAGTGGAACGGAAGTGGATATGGCTATAAAGGCAAAACGAGGAATCCTTGTGGTAATAAAACTCAGTATCTTGAACTGGATCACTGTCAGCATCCTGGTTATTGTACTGTCATTTTGCAGGATATCATTGCAGGGAAGATGGGTAAAGAGTACCTGGGTTCTGACTGTATCATTTTTTACAACTTAAAGTGGATCTACGATTATCTCGAAGAGTTTAAACTTTTAAAAAGCACATAACTGTCAAATGGAGCTATATTTTATAGGGATTTTGTTGCGATAAGAACTTCATTAAAGACATAATATTGAACCTAGGCTAGGTAAGATGAGATGGGAGAAAAGACAGAGGGCATCTAGGCAAAAAAAAAAAAAAAAAAGGTATGAGCACTGTGTGTTCTCATATAAGCTTTTGAGCCTATTTTTGTTTAACTTTGATCATATCCCAAGAGTATGTGATAAAAATATAAATAATCTTTAATCTTTAATTGTAGAATGTTGATTTCTTTCATCTTAGGATGTGGTGTTTAGTAGGAAGCAAAAAATAAACTTTTTTTCTTTGTCCTAAATCAATGCCAATCCTACAGTAAATGTTTGATAAATATTGATGATGATTGCAATTTTAACAGAGTTTTACAGAAAAGTGACATTTTGGACAAGTGACAATAAGCACTTAATAAATGTTAAGAAACTGCTGTCAATAAAGTCCATATAATAAACTTAATAGCCAGCCAGAATAAGCTTGAGAACTTTAGATCTTTTAGAAAAGAAAATCTAATTCTACCCTATCATGTAATTCATGAGAAAAATAGGACTGAAGTTATGACTACCTGAACATATATAGCTGGTTCATATCCAAGCTTGATGATAAGAACTATGCATACCTTACCCTCTATTACTTACAAATCCAGGTCTTCTGTATTTCCTAGCAGCTCTGTCAACTCTTATCACCCACTGTAAACTGGAACTGGGTAAAATATGGATGTATCAAAGGAAAGGAAGATGCCAGTTTTAGAAATCTTACTACTTTCCAACTCTCTCTCTATTCTCCTGTATATTACAATAACAAAGCTTGTATTTCTTATTATTTACTTCAGAACATGACCTCTTATATAAAAAGAGATCTGGTTTCTTTCATTACATTTTTAGTCCAATAGAACATTGATTGTAAGTCTCTATACAGCTTCTAAGAAGCTTCGAGTAAAGTTGAGTGGATAGTCTCGGAAATCAAGTAGTGAGCATTCTAGCCAACATTTAAAGTCATTGTTTTAAGGCTTTACTATTCCAATAATTTATATTAACCAATACTCCTATGTATCTCAAATGTCTCGCATATTAGAAACTTAAAAAGAAATATGTTTTTGCTATAAATCTCTTCATACTGAAGCAGATTAACAGGGCAATATAAAAGCTTGGTTGTGAAGAGAAATACAGCAGCAGCACAAGGGAGGAACATAAAAAATAGGATGTGAATATATGTTAACCAAAAAGTATTACTTTGCATTTTTCTTAATAGCTTCTTGCATATGAATTTTAAGCTATCACAGATTATGTTTTCTGATTTATACAAAATTTTTATCCAGATTTCCCATGATTAGGTTATATGAGTGATTCCTAGTTTTAATTCATAGTCCTTATTAAAATTCTTACTTGAACTTAGCTTTATTACTTCTATATTTTAGGTCTGGTTTCTTTCAGACTATAAGTCTTTAATAGTTTGCATGACTTGATATAATATCTCTTTAAGGAACTTTAAGTTCTCAATCCCACAACTGGCCTAGGCCAGTGGTCGGCAAACTGTGACTCGCAAACCACATGCGGCTCTTTGGCCCCTTGAGTGTGGCTCTTCCACAAAATACCACATGTGGGTGCACATGTACAGTGCGATTGAAACTTCGTGGCCCATGCGCAGAAGTCGGTATTTTGTGGAAGAGTCACACTCAAGGGGACAGAGTCGCGTGTGGCTCGCGAGCCGCAGTTTGCTAACCACTGTCCTAGGACATCAGAAGTTACCATCTCTGTTTTCTAGTGGGTAAACTGAAGTACAAAGAACTAAAGATATTTTTCCGAATCACTGAGCTGGGAATACAATATAAAATAACTCTTGTCGCTGGCTTTCTAATTTATAGCTTAGTTAAAACTAAAGAGTTAAACTTAGTTCTTTCTTTGTGAAGTCAGTAAATCAGACATCAGAAATAAGATATATTTCAGAAGGACTTGGTATCAGAGTTTAGTTATTTTCAGACTCAACAATTTGGCCCCAAATGGACATACTTAATCCTTCCTCATCTATAATGACAAATAATTTCTAACATTTTATGACTTTTTTCTTTGCTTAGATTGCAGCGTCAAAACCATGCTAAAGATAATGAGATCAAGAACCTTAAAGAGCAACTTTCCATGAAAAGGTACAAACAGCCATTGCTTTGGTTGAGTGCACCCTCTCTGAAACTTTGTATTTCACTCAGCATGTTCTGGCTAGGACAGCCATATAATTTATCATCCAACCTGGGGCACTATGAGCCTGAAATTGAGCAGTATTCATAATAACTGAGGCAACAGGTATAAACTAGAAGTGTCCTAGACAAATTCGGAGGTTATGTTCACTTTAGCTCTGGCCCTAGAAAACTGGTGAGAGAATAAATCAGCTAAATTATTGTCTCACATCACACTATTGTCAGGGACTAGAGCTTATTGAGTTCTTATCTCTTTACCCTAATCAATACAACTGGGTGTGACTGCTTTATGAAACTGACTTAACTTTTGTTCTCATTCATAGATTTGCCTGCAGGTAATTTTTTTATAACAGCTTTTTTGAGATCTAATTCATACTGCATAAAATTTACACTGTTAAAATATATAATTCATTGGTTTTTAATATATTCACAGAAATGTACAACCATCACCACTATCTAATTCCAGAACATTTTTATCACCCTGAAAAGAAACCCTGGATTCATTAGAAGTCACTCCTCATTCTCTCTTCCCCAAGCTTCTGGCAACCAGTAGTCTATTTTTTGCCCCTGGATTTGCCTATTCTGGACATTTTATATAAATGGAACCATTTAATGTGTGGTCTCTTGTGATTAACTTCTTTCACTTAACATAATTTTTTTCAAGGTTCATTCGTGTTATAGCATGTATCTGTACTCATTCTTTTTGTGGAAAAATAATATTCCATTGTATGGATATATCAAATTTTTTTCTTTTCATCAGGTAATGGCAATTTCATTTATTTTCATTTTGGGCTATAATAAATAATTCTGTTAGAACATTTGTGTACAAGTTTTTATGTGGGCATGTTTAAATTCTCTTTTGGTGATGTACTAGTACATATATGTAAGAATGCAATTGCTAAGACATGTGGTTAACTCTGTTTAACTTTTTGAGGAACTGCCAAACTAATTTCTAGATCAGTTCACCATTTTACAATCTCACCAACAATGGATGATAGTTCTGATTTCTCTATATCCTCACCAATACTTATTGGGTTATCGGTCTTTATTTTACCAATTGCAATGGATGTGAAGTGGTATACCATTGTTCCTTTCATTTGCATTTTCCTAATGGTTAATTTTGTAGAGCATCTTTTTATGTGCTTATTGGCCATTTGTTTGTCTAATTAGAGAAATGTCTATTTATATCCTTTGACCATTTTTAAAATTCAATTGTGTTTTTACTGTAGAGTTTTAATTTTCTTTGTATGTTCTCCATACAAAACCCTCATCAAATCTTTGCAAATATTTTCCTCCATTCTGTTGGTTGTCTTTTCACTTTTTTTGTTGTTTTGTTTTTTGTTAATCCTCACCCAAGAATATTTTTCCACTGACTTTTAGAGAGTGGAAAGGAGGGAGAGAGACAGAGAGAGAGAAACCTCATGTGAGAGAAGCACATTGATTGTTGCCTCTCGCATGCACCCTGACTGGGCCTGGGGATCGAACCTGCAACCAAGGTACATACCCTTGATTAGAATTGAACCCGAGACCCTTCAGTCTGCAGGCCAGTGCTCTATCCACTGAGCCAAATTGGCTAGGGCTCTTTTCACTTTCTTGGTGATGGCCTTTGAAGTACAAAAGTTTTTAATTTGATGAAGTCCAATTTATCTATTTTTTGTCTTATTGTAGGCAAATTTTCTATAATATTCAATGGTATAATAATTCTCTTGGACATTTTATCACCCCCCGCCACCCCCCGCAAAACACTCTCACCTTAATGGTATTAATAATATATTGATTTATCAAGCTTCTCTTCAGTGTTTGTCAAATACTCAAGTATCCAGATGTTTATAATAATAAAACATTGAGGATAGCTTTGGTGAAAGTTCCCTATTACCATGTTATATTTCCAATTAATTGTTTCCATTTAAGACAGTGGTTTGTATTGCTCTGGAGTTCTGTAGCTCAGGGTGAAATGAGATAAGAAAAAGAGAAACCTTACAGTTAGCCATTTTCCATAATGTCCTTGATAAATAATGTCCTATCATCATCTCCCTTCCTCTTAAGCTGTAGGATTTGTTTTCATTCTGAGGCATTGAGTGTAATAACATTAAAATACTTTAATGCAGTGCCCTAGCTGGTTTGGCTCAGTGGATAGAGCGTCAGCCTGCGAACTCAAGGGTCCCAGGTTCAATTCCAGTCAAGGGCATGTACCTTGGTTGCGGGCACATCCCCAGTAGGGAGTGTGCAGGAGGCAGCTGATCGATGTTTCTCTCTCATCGATGTATCTAACTCTCTATCCCTCTCCCTTCCTCGCTGTAAAAAATCAATAAAATATATTTTTTAAGAAAAATAAAATACTTTCATTGCAGTGACCTAGCTTTAATGACACGGATAATAAAAACATTTGCAGTTACTATTACTTGGATAAAAAGGCTTGTATAAAGAAACTTTAGGTAAAATTTATTAATTATGATAATACCTGACATTTATTCATTATTTACTGTGTGCCAAACACAAAGTGCTTTATGTATATTATCTGAATTAACTTTCACTATAGTTCTTTGAGGTAAGTAATACAATTTCCTTCACTTTTACATGTGAGAAAACTGAGGTACAAGGAAGGTCAGTAACTTGCCCAGGGTTTCACATTTAATAAACTGTGGAACTGAGATTCATCCTCAGACAACTTAACTTGAGAGCCAAGTTTTAAATCATTACCTCTATATTGACAACTTTAAAACTTCTATGCTCTCGATAGTAAAGGATAACAATAAAGCTTAAGTATTGTCTTCTCCTGCTTTTATATGCTGTATACTTTTCAGAAATCATTATCTATTCATTGAGTAGCTTGTTACCTTTCTTCCTCTTGAATAAGAAAAGTCTGTTCTTGCTGCAATGTTACTGACTCTTTAATGATCACGTATTTCAGATCTCAGTGGGAAATGGAGAAGCTTAATATGGAAACCACAATTAAAACATATTTAAGCAAACTGAATGCAGAAACTAGTAGAGCTTTAACAGCTGAGGTGAGAGAGAGAGGGAGGGAGGGTCAGGGAAGCAAGTTTACTTGTGTACTAATGTACTAAAGAATGTGGTGGGTTTTTTTAAAACTGTTTTGTAAATAAAGAGAAATAAGGCATTTTAGGATCAGCTTGAAAAAAATCAGCTCCAACCTTGCGGGTTTTTTTGACTCATTGGCATTTTGTATGTGATTACTACAGTGTTATGATCTTATGTTGTTTTTCTCAAATGACTCCAAGAAATGTGTTTGCTTCAATATATATAGCAAATGCAGACATCATGGGAACATTTTCATGAAGCCTGGTCACCAAGCTAAATTTTTAAGAATAATATTTCACTGCTGCCATAATCTCCCTTCTTTGCTTCTTACATAAATTTGCCAAAAGCACATATACATCATACACTCCAATGTAAAAAACCAGTTTACATTCTGGACCCAGAAAGTTACCCAGTTTCTTCTAGGTTAGCTTAGAACAGTGGTTGTCAACCTTGGCTGCACATTAGAATCACCTGGGAATCTTTTTAAAATCCTGATTTCTGGGCCTCATCCTCCGGAAATTCTGTTTCTTTGTTATTAATGTTGTGGCCCCACCCCATAACAAAGAAACAGAATTTCCGGAGGATGAGGCCTAGAAATCAGGATTTTAAAAAGATTCCCAGGTGATTCTAATGTGCAGCCAAGGTTGAGAACGACTGGCTTAGAACCTCACAGCTAGGTTCTCTCAAGAAAAAAAAAAGATTGTATGTGTATAGTTTTTGTTAATAGATAACCAAACTTGATATACAATAAGATTCAAGTTTTGGAAAGCTCACTGACATTAAAATCATTATAGATCTCCCAAGCTCTATTCTTTAGCAGAGTTCTTAGAAATCCATAGGTCAACAATTGAGTGATATCTGAAGAATTAAAGTGTTGGAGTACTAGCTTTAATGAAAAACAAAAAACTCAGAATACCTTAAGTGCTCAAGTTTGCATTTGTTTTTCACTGTTTTAAGTGAGAAAGTTTCTAATTCCATTAATGCTGTCCAAGAGAATAATAAGCTATTTTCAATAATAGTACAGAAGGGATTCTTGCTGTGGGTTTGGACTAGATTACCTCCAAGGCCCATTGCACTGCATGGTCCTATAGAGTCTGTTTATTTTCTTACCCCTTCATCTGTTAGAAAACAAACAGCAAGGATTATTTTGAGTTTTTTTAACTCAATACCCAGGCTACATCTAGTATAAATTAAATTAGAATCTCTGGGACTGCCATCATTTTTTAAAGTTGGTTTAAAAACTTTTGAGATGGTTCCAGTGTATGTGCAGGTTTGAAAACTAATCTTCTAGAATGTTTACAAACCCAGTAACCATTGAATAAAAAATTAGAATTGCAGAATTGATCAAAAAGCTTTTATAATGTAGCATCAATGGTCAAGAAATTCGGGTGCTATTGGAAGAGATTGAAAAATAGCTTAAAATTTATATGAAATGATTGAGAAAAGAATGTATTCATTTACAAGGACACCTTCAACTTCTTTTTCTTTCTCTCAAAAATCTGCAGGTGTATTTCTTACAGTGTCGTAGAGATTTTGGTTTGCTTCATCTAGAGCAGACTGAAAAGGAATGCCTCAGTCATCTTGCCAGGGTGACTCAGATGGCAGCAAGGTAACTTTTCCCTCTTCCTTAATTCATCTTGATCTCAGAGATACTTGCAAGTGGCTCCAAGGTTGAACATAATTTGTGATGTATATAATAAAAGCCTAATATGCTAAGGGTTCGGTCATCCATTCAACCAATCAAAGCGTAATATGCTAGTGATATGCTAAGGCCGCTCAACTGCTCACTATGATGTGCACTGACCACCAGGGGGCAGACAGTTGACCGGTCGACCAGTGGCTATGACATGCACTGACCACCAGGGGGAAGACGCTCCAACTGGTAGGTTAGCTTGCTGCTGGCGTCCAGCCAATCAGGACTGAGCGAGACTGGCTGGACATGTCCTGGAGCCCTTCCGCGGTCCCTCCCCAGCTGGCCAACCTCCCTCGTCCCTCCCTGGCCCCGATCATGCACCTGTGGGGTCCCTCGGCCTGGCCTGTGCCCTCTTGGGGGATGTCAGAGAGTCGGTTTCAGCCCAATCCTGCATGCCAGGCCGAGGGACACCACTGGTGCACGAATTAGAGCACCGGGCCTCTCGTTTTAAATAAATGACATTAGAGTCTTTGGAATGAAGAAGCTCTTGGGTTTTTAAACCTCAAAGGTCACCTAGTCACTTGGATGTTCTTTGTTGCTTCTGCTGCAGTACTGAGAAGTCTACTGAATGCAATAATAGCTTCTGACAGATTTTTTTCCCTTCCTCTGCAGTCAAATAGATCAAAAATCTCAGTCAGACAACAATGAAGATCAGATATTTACAAACCAAGGTGGATTCTAAGTGGAAAATTTTTCTAATTGTTTTCTTTTCAATACCAATTTGATTTTTAAATACCTTCAGAGTACTTTGGGGGAGGGGGAATCAGTATTAACATATCTAAAATCACACATTAAAGGCAATTTCCTGCTGTGCTTTATATGAGTGATTTTCAAATATTGGGCAGATTGTATGAAATTCTCCTTAAATTTATAATTTTATGAGGTATAAATTCAAACTTAAGAGAATTAGAATCTCTGGAACCAAGGCATCATTATTATTATTTTTAATCCTCACCCAAGGAAATGTTTATTGATTTTAGAGAGGAAACATAAGTCTATCAATCGAAACATCGATTGATAGCCTTATGTGCTCTGACCAGGGATCAATCCCACAACATTTTTGGTGCATGGGATGACGCTCCAAGCAATTGAACCATCCAGCTGGGGCACATCGTCATTTTTCTAAAGAATTATTTTAATGGTCATCACTCTTTATTTCCAAGAATCAGAATCTCTGAGACTTAACAAGATTTCCAGGATATATTGATGTGCAGTCACATCAGGAAAGCACTGCTTTAAGTAATCAGTCTCTGCTTGGTAGAGGGAGAAAAATGCTCTGTAAATGATAATATTATCAAGCCTCTGTGTGTGAGATGATCCCAATAGCAGCTTGTTCTGTTCTTTTAAAATTGTTGTACTGGATGATACTAGGCTGGGGTGTTTTAACAGTCTCTTGAAATCTCTCTTCTGTAGATGGCAGACCCAAAACACCACAATGCTATTCCTACTTAAGTCATTTGGTGGGTATTTTTGGTAGAGTTGCTGTGTTTGGGCAATTATGCACTGCATAGAAGCAACAATGTAATTTATCCTTGCATAAGAGATACTTCTTTCTCATTTACCCTCCCATATGGAGTATTTTTTTCTAATTTGCAAAAGAGCCTGGTAAGCCTACTATGGCCTTGTGATGTTAGGGTTCACGTGGAGACAGTCCAAAACCTGCTTTCAAGATGAGAGAATTCTCAACATCAGATGGTTAGGGCAATTTCCTTCTTTGGCTTTTACTGCCTTCCCTCTTTGCAGAGGAATTCCTGTGCAAAGGTTTTATAATATGTCCTAAAAAATATTGCCACTCTAGAAAACAAACAAACAAACAAAAAAACACCTGGCTGTGCGGAAGAAGTTATATTTTCTCTTGGGGAAAAAAAAATACCTATGTTTCTAGTCCTTGTTTTTATTTTTAATACAACTTTGTGCCCATTTGAGGTAAGTGTTGGTGATAGAGATAACTTTGTTGTTTTACATTATTTACATATATGCTAGAGAACATAAAGGAAATTTTTGGAAACCTAATTCTTATATAAAAAGAAAGAACTTCCTCTTGTGTCTCCTTTCTACACCAGCAACCTAGAATCACTTCAGTTAAAGGCTGCAGTAGACAGTTGGAATGCCATTGTGACAGATGTCAGAAACAAGATTGCATTCCTTAGGGTAAGTTGTAAAGTATATTTAGAGTAAATTGACTGAATGTTGTAGATGGTATATACTTAAAGAAAACATTTAACATTAAAAACAATTACTAGAGAAATTTAAGGAAGAACATAGATTTCATTTCAGTTACTAAAGTTTATGCCTTTTTGATGTTTGAGATCTATTAGTTCCACATAGTTGGTTGTAGCTAGCAACCAACTTAGTATAGTAAATGATAAACTCAGTCTGCCTCACACCTAACTTTTCTCGAATTTCAAAGCTAACTCTGCTCCAATAATAAATAAATGCCTAACTTGGTTTTAGTAATTGTGTGTTTACAGAATTAAAAGGAAGATTAATGCGCTGGCTGGTTTGGCTCAGTGGATAGAGTGTTGGCCTGCGAACTGAAGGGTCCCGGGTTTGATTTCGGTTGGGGGCACATGCCCAGGTTTCAGGCTCAATCCACAATGGGGGGTGTGCAGGAGGCAGCCGACCAATGATTCTTATTGTTGATGTTTCTATCTCTCTCCCCCTCCCCCTCCCTTCCTCTAATAAAAACCAATAAAAAAATATTTTCTTTTTAAAAAAAAGGGAGATAAGCAGACCCCTATTATTTTTCAATGTTAACTTTTTATGTAATTACTAGAGGCCCAGAGCACGAAATTCATGCACTGGGGGTGGGGGCCCTCAGCCCAGCCTGCGCCCTCTTGCAGTTTAGGAGCCCTTGGAGATGTCAGTCAGTCGGACATCCTTAGAGTTGCTGTGGAGGCGGGAGAGGCTCCCACTACTGGCGCTGCACTCACCCCCAATGAGGCCGGTTTCTGGCTTAGTGGAGCTCTCCTGTGTAGGAGCGCACTGACCACCAGGAGGCAGGTCCTGCGTTGAATGTCTGCCCCGTGGTGGTCAGTGCGTGTCATAGTGACCGGTCATTCTGCCCTTCGGTCAATTTGCATATTAGCCTTTTATTATATAGGATTCCAAATGCAAAATAATGAATTCTTAATTATTGGTTTAATACTATTAGGACTATGATAAAGGTAATGTAAAGAAATAACAGAATATTAATTTGGTTTTGGATATTTTTGTATTTCTATCTTAAAGTTTATATATAATGTTGACTGTTTTGTGACTTCACAACACAAACAATGACATTCAATTATGAAAAGCTGCCTCAAACCATTACTTACTTACTAGTTTTTTTGTTGGTGGTCTTGACTGTTTTTTTCCTGGACTCTTTAGTACTCAGTCTTTACTATGCTCAATATCTCTGTTGGGTTTATTCAGAGTTCTAGTCTCAAAAGAGGTGCTCCTTGTTCTGTATCCTTGTTTTCTTTCAAGCACATACCAGTATTCTCTGTGTGGAGATTTCTAAAAGACTTTCTTTTCCAGCTCTTGGGTTGTTTACAAAATAAAATGTAAAGCAAAACAGGGACAATGCCAACAAAATGTTAAAGGCATGTTAAGCTTCAGGGATTAGTCTTTTGGCAAATCCAGGAGAATAAAACAAGGGTGCTGTGGAACTGGAGAAAGCTAGAAGTATAACTTGAGATAAACAAATATGAATATTTGATATTCTCTCAAATTTTTCCTCTAGGTTTTAAAATGAATATTTGTAAGTAATCCAAGTCTTTGTTGCAGATACTTTCCCCCCATATTTATCAGCCAGTGTATTATTCATAAGTTCTCCAATCTTTAGACTCTATTTATATAAGTGATTCCAAGTTTGGGGCTCAAAATTATGGAAACATGGAAGAATTACTATGAATTATGTGTCTTTGTATCTTGTTAATCAACAACTTCTAAAAACAACTATTTATATTCAGGGATGATGTTCTATAGAACTGTTTTTATGTCAGAAATTGTTTTTATATATTTTTTGACAATAGATTGAGAATCACTCTTTTTTGCTGTATTATTCAAAACGCATTAAGTATTTTTATATGCTATTTTTTTTAAGTTGACTTTGCTTTAAAATAGTGTTTTTCTTTTTCTACTAGACACAATACAATGAACAAATTAACCAGGTGAAGCAAGGATTTGCCTTGAGTACCTTGCCTCCAATCCAGCTTCCTCCACCACCACCCAGTCCTGAGATACTGGTAAGAAATATTACGTTTTGAAAAATTCCCATCTTCATCGTGATAAAATGGTAAGGGCTATAAAACACTGACTATGCAGCTTGTTTATTGTGTATTCAAAATGGATAGGCACATAATGTGCATATCATTTGTAATTATGTCCATTTATCATCTTCAGATGATAAAACTAGTTGGCTGGCTCAACTGAGGTCACATACCTATATTGTATCACTCGATTTTGGTGGTGCATTTGATATCTAAAGAGGTAGTATATTTTCATTCATCTTGTCACTCCTCTACATCATGGGAGAAAACTGATGAATGCTCAGAATTTCCACTGCTTTCAAGTTACCCCTAGATGACTGAAACACTTCAGCCTAATACCCTAGCAGGCTGACTTCACCCCTCCACTTCTACTTTGGACTTTCTTTCCCTTAAATTTTATCTTCTATTCTACCTTTAATAGGAAGGACACCTTCCATTTATGCCCCTTCCCTGCTTGTTGTAGGATCAGTGAGTCTTAATCAGATATACTAATATCTATACTATACTATGTATGTTATCCTTTGGGGAAACATAGTGCCATAACCCAAGAAACACGTACAACTTTCCAAAATACTTTTTAGAACAGAATCATTAGGTGATAATTTTTATTATCATAACAGATCTGAGGATAGGAAAAGAAAAAAGGTATGAGATATTTAGGGGCAGATCACTTTTGATGTCAGCACTTCTGCTTGTAGGAAAGCTTTGAAATGTTATTTCAATAAATAGTTGAATAAATTAAAGAATTTAAAAATTACATAAATTATTTGGATTTTCACTGTGTTTCAAAAACAAATCCAAAGCTAAAAGTATTGTATGACACACACTCTGGATTTTTTTTATAATGATAGTATTGCCTTTTATATTTTGGTCAATCTGCTTTTTATAGGAGTACTATATTATAGACATTATTATCTTTGGCTTAGAGCACCATCATACCCAACTACCCTGATAAGGAATGTGTTACATAAATGAAAGAGAAACCCCAAAGATTCACTGTAATTCTACAGGAAGTAACACATATTGGGCACTGTTCCAATTTAGCCCATTATTTTTTATGTGTTTCATTATATTTTTATGTTTGTATCTCAGCTATCTAATCCTCAAAGTAGTGTTATGTAATAGTTGTCCTCAAAGAGAGCAGGACTGTTAACTTAGTACCCACCATTCGTTCATTATTTTAAAACTTTATATTATGAAAATATAAAATATGTATGAAAATAGAATAGTATAATGAGCCTCTGTGAACCCAAGAACCAACTTCAACATTATCAACATTTTGTTAGTCTTGTTTCATGCCATCTCTTTCTTCCTCCCCACTGGAATATTTTAAAGTAAACCTTTAAATATCATGTGACATCATCCGTATATAATTTAGTATGTATTCCTAAAAGATTGAGGACTCATATTATTGGGTATTATCATAACACCATTTTCTGTTTAAGAATTGTAAATTATTTTTAACTAGAGGCCCGATGCACAAAATTTGTGCAAGAGTAGGCCGTCCTTCCCCCAGCTGCAGGCACCGGCTTTCCTCTGGCACCCTGGACCCAGGCTTCCTTCTAGCCACCAGCACCCGGGATCTGGGCTTCCCTCCAGCCACCAGTAAGCACCCGGGAGCTGGGCTTGCCTCTGGCCGCCGGCAGGCACCCAGGACCCGGGCTTCCCTCACAGCCCTGGCTTCATCTGGAAGGTCGTCCGGATGGATGTCCAGTCTAATTAGCATATTATGCTTTTATTATTATAGATAATACCAGTTAAATTTTGTATTACCCCAGTTGTCTCAAAATTTATTTTTCTTACCTCGCTTGACAATATTTCCAGTTTAGTTATAATTACCCTTACTTTTACAACCCTTATTTTTAAAAAGCAATCCAATAAGTTCCTCATTAACCTTTTACCTATTGGTTTTAGGATAATTACTCAAGAGCTATACTGATACTCAATTTTTTAATTCAACAAATAGTTGAACTCCTACTTTATGCCGGTATTAGACTTGGAACATATAGATGCTCAGTAAATCTGTCCTTTTCTGTGGTCCAGCCAATAATTTATTCATCTTATTGGTAGATGCTAAGAAGAGCTTGCTTTCCACAACTCTGTGGGAAGTGCAGTAACACTCATAAGCATGTCTTCAAATCATTGCAGACACACATAAGCATGTCTTCAAGTCATTATCCTCCAGGCACACACCAGTTAAACTTGCTACTGTTCTTGGATAGAGCTAAACATAAAGTCAAAATTCCATCAGGTGTTACAAGGTCTCTCCAATACAGAATAGCAAAAGTAATATTATCTATAGACAACTTTGATTCTTTCGTGGAATTTGAGTGTCAGTATTGCTCATCAGCAATGACAGTACTCATGGAGGAGCTCCTTTGAATAGTTCTATAATGTTCCATTTGGGAGAGGACCTCAAAGATCACCTAATCCAACTCTCTTATTTTATAGACTAGAGGCCCGATGCACGAAATTCGTGCACGGTGGGAGGGTGTGTCCCTCAGCCCAGCCTGCACCCTCTCCAATCTGGGACCCCTCGAGGGATGTCCGACTGCCTGCTTAGGCCCGATCCTACTTCACCCCTCCACTTCTACTTTGGACTTTCTTTCCCTTAAATTTTATCTTCTATTCTACCTTTAATAGGAAGGACACCTTCCATTTATGCCCCTTCCCTGCTTGTTGTAGGATCAGTGAGTCTTAATCAGATATACTAATATCTATACTATACTATGTATGTTATCCTTTGGGGAAACATAGTGCCATAACCTAAGAAACACGTACAACTTTCCAAAATACTTTTTAGAACAGAATCATTAGGCCAACTGCCCTCCCCTGCTGGCCTTTTCACCCCCAACTACCCTCCCTTGCTGGCCTAGTCCCTCCCAACTGCCCTCCCCTGCTTGCCTGATTGCCTACAACTGCCCTCCCCTACCATCCATCTTTGACCACATGGGGGCGGCCATATTGTGTGTGTGTTGGAGTGATGGTCAATTTGCATATTACCTCTTTATTAGATAGGAATTAGTAACTTGGCATTTAAGATTATGCAGCTAGATGGAGAGAAGTGGGACTAGAACTCTGTTTTCTTCTCTCTCTCAGTGTTCTTTAGTATATTTCACTACCCTCTGCTATAGCCTATTCATATGTTTAAATAATTTTATGACACCATTATTTCTATTGTGCTTTGTAACTAGATTTTAAATCAGTCTTTTCCCCAAACATTGCTCTCTGACTGTAGATCATTGCTCATATGAATAGATGTTTTTATTTTTTACTGTTTCTATTTTAGATGCAGCAGTTCTTGGGAAGACCCCTTGTGAAAGAATCTTTCTTTAGACCCGTAGTCACTGTTCCTCAAATGCCTGCCATTTGTCATGGAGCCATCTCTGCACCTGGCCAACCTAGACCCCCCCTGGTACAAAGCTCTTCTTGGTGGAATAGATATTAACTAGTTCTTTATCATGACAGTGGACTTCCAGAATGAATGTCCATCTTCTCTTTTTTCATTTATGTGATAAATGATGATGATGCTGGTGGTGGTGGTGATAACTGAGTGATAATTGAATAAATATGATCACTGTCAAGGACATTGCATATTTATTTCATTAACTGATACTAGCCTGGTGGTGGTGGTGATAACTGAATGATAATTGAATAAATATGATCACTGTTAAGGACATTGCATATTTATTTCATTAACTGATACTAGCTTTGTTTTCAGATACAAAGATAAGTATATTTTCATAGTAGAGAATCTTTACAGTTACTCTTTCCTTCAATAGCAGGCACCAATGTCATGTAGATTGATATTTTAATAGATACTTTATATTTAGCATGATTAATGGGTAGGTTGAAAAGCAAAGAAGCCAAGTCACAACAAACTAAATTATGCTATAAAGCTAAAGAAAAAATTTAAACACACACATGTATATATTCAGTAGGACACTGTTTATCTCCAAACAGGCAATATACAGTGGGGCCTTGACTTACGAGTTTAATTCGTTTCGTGACTGAGCTCGTAACTCAAATTACTCGTATGTCAAATCAAAAAGTGAACGAGTGAGACACGTGATGCTGGGCTGATGTTGTGGCGTTCACT